AAAAAAAACAGTAAAGTCGCGTTCACAGCTTTGTAGAATGCTCCGCTTCGTTTCGCGTTTCACATTTCCCTGTGTACAAAAACAAAATTCTTATTATTAAAACATTAAAACCAGCACCTATCATTCCAGCATTACTAAAATTTTTGCAGTTCATAATGTTTCTCAAGTTGCTTTACCTTCTTGCTGTTGTCATTCTCTTCAGTTTCTTAACTTTTACTAGCTTAGTAAAGATATACAAACAGCTCAATGAAAATGTAGTCCTCACACTTAATTATCGCCTCGCACCGAGGTGCGACGTGTCCTCAATTGTACAGAAGTTGGCGTATCCCTAGACTAGGGTTCTATCAGTAAAGGTAATTACTCAGAAGGAATACAAACCAAGAAACATGCGACAGAAATAGAAACACATAACCAAACAGTGTTCAGTCATTCACTAGAGGAGGGTAGCTACCCATCAGTGGTCTTGGAAGAAACATGAACGAGGAAACATGCAAGAAAAGAGACATATATTACCAAACTATAGTTTAACAACCCATTGATCGTAGGAACTTACTTTTTACAATCAGTAATCACCTTAAAATAACGTTATCGAACGCACTACGCAACCTCCAATAAGCAGAGTTACGAAAGAGAAAACCTTCTGTCGTCAAGACCTCTCCGCAGTGCCTAGACACCCTAAAATAATGCGCTATAGAGCGAACCCGCGACGCAACCGCTCTCACGTAGGGCTTGTCTGATTATGTTGTTTAAGTTCTTCTACATGGTCTTAGCTGAAACTGCTAACATTCTCTCTCCCCAAAAACTCAGAAATAGCGAGGAAAGAATGACCAAGAGTACTTATGGTTTCGATCAACAGAAAGTGTCTAGTTATAACCGAAGAATTGCTGGGAAATAGTTCTATGCGTTTTCAAACGGTCGCCTAAACTAAATTTAAAGGCCGGAATAACATAACAAGAGAAGGGCCCTGTGCGGAAAACGTCGGTGGCGCATACTTACCGTAAAATTGCAGAACTGAGTCGTATCGCAATTTTTATTGTGGTCCTAACTGTTTTCCGTGTTTTTGGAAGCATTTGAATGCTGCTCCGTACTGGCTTGTTGGTTTTAATGTAGTTCTTGGTCTAGTGATGCTTAAACTCGGGCTGGCTCAAGGGAAGGTGCAAGCAGAGAGAGGAAAAGGCTCACAACCATGTTAAACCTTTGGGTCGTAATCAGCGTTCTTGGCTTCTTGAGTGCTAAGTGGTTTTATGTTCTGTGAGTTTGGTTTAAGGAAAGTTTTCCATCACTGCTGTGATAGTAGGAGTACTGTTCACCTGCGATATCTCTATGCTTTTGGAAGGGATTTATTATCTAGCAGACCTTTGGAATTACTTGTTGGAATTGAGTAGCCATTGACGTTCCTCTTTCAAACAGTTTTTATATGCTCCATTAAATACTATGTATTCTGTTTTCTTGACTACTTTTGTAACTTTCAAGTTGCTCATAAGCAGCGTTTTGAGTGGTGATTGCGGCAGCTTACAAGAACTTCTATTCCAGTGATTTGAATTTTATTTGATACTTAATAGCTGTTACTCATGACACTAAGAAGTTTAGTTTTCTCATCTCTCCCGTGGGAATTCCTCAGTCGAGACTTTCTCCATTCTCGTTTAACTCTGCCTTTTTTATTTAATAATATGTTGCAGAACTTGGCAAAATCAGAATGAGTCGCGTTCGTACAAAGACCGTCAAGAAGGCATCCAGAGTGATTATTGAGAAATACTACACGAAGATCACCCATGATTTCCATACGAATAAGCGTATCTGCGATGAAGTAGCTATCATTGGAAGCAAACAATTAAGAAATAAAATTGCCGGGTAAGTGTCATTTCTCCTGCGACACTCTTGATTTTCTAAGGATAATGATTTGTTCATCTATATCGTTTCTTATTGATGTTTTCCGTTTCTTTTTTTTCCTTGAATCAATAAGTTAAGTATGATAAATTGAAATCAGTGGAGCATAAAAACTACAATAAGCAAATGCATTGGAAGGACAAAATAACCACACAAACTAAAGATAGCTCGTTTCGCCTCTTCCCCAGACGAACCACCGTCTTTACCTTCCCTTGAGGAAGATAAAAGAATGCAAACGTGGCACATTTAGGTAAATTTACTAGGCGCACATATACACCAAAACCTAATGAGTTCTATAAGGAAGAATTGCCAACATTTCAAAAAGGGGTTATGCGCGTGGGTGATAAAGAACCACCGGTAAAAGTGAAAATCAACATCCAGCACAATTGCAAGATACTTATCAGAGACGTTTGATGGGGTAAAGGTAAAATTAGCGGTTCTATGTCCATGGGCGATTCTGCATGCGGCTTCGTACGCTGACATGATGCCGGGATTTTGGCCATTGAGTATTGGAGACGAAAATTGTGGATAGCTTTTGGATATTTTTCGTTTACTTTGCTCAGGTGTTTTTACTTGAAGCAGTACTTTTTTACCTTTATTATGAACTTGCTTACTATCCTGCATTGTGCAGCTCCACAAGTTGACAGTATTTTCAGAATCGGGATGTATTGTCTTTACGTACCTTTCAATTAGTTTCCGATTAGCCCGGGAATAGTTATGGTTCTAACTTTTATAT